CCAATGCGACTGGTGCCCTAGAACCCCAACATGACTAACTGTGCATGAAATTGAACTGATTGGAGTTATTGACCAGAAGGCTCCAACCCCTCAGAGGACAGAGTGGAGTGGGTGAACGGGGAGGGAGTAGTGGGGTTGCCATGCGTGTTACCTGACTGAGTGAAAAATCCCGTCCGGTTGCTTTGATGCCAAGCACTTTACAGTAAAGAGTGATTTAATGGAAGCTGCCAGACCTCATCAATGTCAGCACTCGTGGTGAGGGGCCCTCTGCTCCATCAGTGTTTTATATAAAAGCGCTGCAATGACAGGCCCTGATGGACAGATGTTTGCTGGTTGTATTAACCGTGCAGTGAAGAGAAACACTGATTTCATTCTCTGCGCCCGACTAGAAGAAAAGCTGTGAACCAAAAAAGGCCACCCCAACAGGCTCTCTCCTATTTTAGGTCTTTATTAATAGCCCTTTTGAATTTTAGCTGAGGCTGATAAGCCTATAATTAATGTGACCATCATTAGGGACAGCCATTCTTAAGGGGAACCAGCTGGGGAGGCAAAGCTGGAGGAATAAAGACTTAAAGGATGATCTGAGCTGCGTGAGGGGGCGGCAAAGAGTGATGGCCAACCAGCTTCCTTGTGATCTGCAGCAGGCGCCACTTTGTTTTGTAGCTGCAGGGTAACACCAAGCGTCATCTGTCAACTCCCCGCAGAAAAGCCCACCTTCGCTGTGTCTTCAGTAGATCTGAATTACAGTGGAATTGCATCATTAATAGAGCAGAAACGAGCCCCAGCAACTCCGGTAGAATACATTGACCCCTGAGGGAGACTTGAAACAAGACATTGTTTTTACAGGAGGAATATCTAACTAGAGGTCCCATTACCACATCATCAATATACAGCAGCAAGTGAGGAGAGAGAGGAGCAGGAAGGAGAGGAGGGAATGTAATGGCTTATAGTGCTAATAGCAGTCTGAGCACTCAAGTCCCAAACATTCAGCTGCCTCATCTCATCTGGGCTGTGTAATTGCCCTCCTGGAAGCTGCCACACGAAGAGGCTGCCGTCGTAGTGAAGAGTGGCAGCTGCTGGATGTTGAGGAGCAAACTGAGGTCAGGTCCCCAAGTGGGGCTCTTTGCAGCCACGAGATGTCATAATTAATAGATATCTGGTGGCCCAGGGGCCAGTTTTGGGTGGGCGCACTGGGGGTTTGGAGCATTTGGGTAAAGTGAAGCTAAACAGAAAGGGATGCCAGATTTATTCTCCACTTAACATATTGTATATTTATCATCGCTTTGCCTGCAGCAGTCTGTGGAGCATCCTCGGTTTTCCAGGGATTATTTTTCCTCTTGTTTGTATTAAGTTTCCCATCTGTATCTGAATGCACCTAGAGATATATTGCTGTGGTGCGCCATGGGAACTTTTTTTAATCTTTAGGGACCAGCGTTCTCCCTTGTTAAGTAAATATACACGAGAAACAAGCTGCAAGCACCTTCACAAAACTGTGTTACTTCAGCTTTCCTTTTTTTCTCCCCATCCTCCTCTCTTTCTCGCTAACGCATCGCCTGGGGGCAAATCTCACTCTGTCTCATCTGCTGCTTAATTTCACTGGAGCGGCCCTCGGTAATGAAGCGCCTTGATGTACATTTGCCAATTTCTGCCTCTGCCACTGCGATATAATTGGGATGTGACTAAGCATGAATACCCAGTACAGGGTTGGTTGACCTCTCGACGACCCTGCGAATAGTGCTTTTGTCATAATGGAGGTATTATCTCACATAATCTGGGAATGGAGAGAGATTGTCTGCAGGGTGCCGGCGATGGAAATGAATTCATGTTGCTCCCCACTCCTGTGCACCACGAAAGGGGGTGGATGAAAAAGTGCAAGATACATTTTTTACATGCCCATAATGAAGACATTTTCTTCTTATCTGTTGTTGCTTTGTGTTTATTAGAGGAGAGCAGCTTCTGGCTAAAGCAGGGGTGGCTTTTTTTTTCTTTATGAATTCAGAGTTTTGATGCTAGAGAGCATTTCTCTGTATGTGTGTGTATGTCAGTCCCTGCGTGGGTGCACTGTGTATTCACATGTTAGTGTGTATGTGTGTCCGTTAATGACCCTGTAAAATGACAAGCAGAGCTGGCAGAGGGGAATACAGCCGCTCGTCACTGACAGGGAGAGGGTGGAGGAGGTAGCAGAGTTCAGTGACTGCGAGGTCGCTGGTTGGTGTGATTCACCATGCTGTCATCACAGAGGGGCTAAGGCCCCTCAGTGGCCCTCTCTATTCCCACCTGAGAGGCCTGCAAATGGAGGGGCCACGCTGTCATTATTTACAGCCTGAAGCTCCTAACCTTGGATTCGGAGCTCATCACCACGAAGGGAAAATCAGATTGGACTCGACGTGTACCCAAGCCAGTGACCTTGATAAGTGTGAGGTGCCTGCAGCAAGAGGTTAGGGAAGACGAGCTCGGATTTGCACGTGTGTTTGTGTGTGCGTGCGGGGGTACGCGTTTGTGTTTCAACCAGGTGAAGAGTTGGAGACGTGTTTGAAACATGTTTCAGAGACTGAATCATGACTCGAGATGACACGTAGTAGGCTGCTCATGGACCAAAATACAGAAAGCAAATGTCACTTTACCTCTGTTCTTTTACAGGGAATATAAAACTAACAAGTAAATCATAAAGGACATTTTTACATTGAAAACACAACTTGATCCCTGTTTCCAAACAAAAGTCAAGACAGTATGTAAAATGTTTATTACCCACAAACCAATGTTTTTGCAAAAAAAGGAACATAACAAACAGTCAAACTTTCATAAAAAAATATAAACCCTTATTTTTATTTGATGTCTTTAAAATATTACCAGGAAAAAGTCGTCATAGCAACTCATGGCTAATTAGGCTACTTGACAACAGGTCAGTGTGATTGTTTCAGTGTATAGGGAAGATAAGGACGCATCACTTAGTACAAGACTTTATTGTAAAATATTTTTTCAGTTTAAGTGCAACTTTAGGTAAATTGCCAAACACACACACACACACACACACACACACACAAACACACACACACACACACACACACACACACACACACACACACACA